TGGAACAAATTAAAGCCAATAAAGTTTTAATTCAAAAACCACTACGAGCTCGAGAAGCTAAAAGGAAAAGAAACAAGCAGGACGATTATAAAAACTAAAACCTTAGCTTTCTTCTTCTTTTTCTTTTTCTTCTTCTTCTTCTTCTTTTCATCCTCACTATCAGAGGAAGATGAAGAAGAGGAAGAGGAGGAGCTGGAGTCCTGTGGAACAAATTAAAGCCAATAAAGTTTTAATTCAAAAACCACTACGAGCTCGAGAAGCTAAAAGGAAAAGAAACAAGCAGGACGATTATAAAAACTAAAACCTTAGCTTTCTTCTTCTTTTTCTTTTTCTTCTTCTTCTTCTTCTTTTCATCCTCACTGTCAGAAGAAGATGAGGAGGAAGAGGAGGAGCTGGAATCCTGTGGACCAGTTTGATATCAGTAAAATCTAACAAATGACACTACAGTCCGAACAAACTAAGAATAAAAGAGGAATGGGGATTTTGATAACATATCCTTACCTTCTTCTTTTCATCTTCACTATCAGAAGAGGAAGAAGATGAGCTTGAATCCTGTAAAAGAAAAGAAAAAAACAAGAAGAATGCAGAAATGCAACAATAAGCACATGGACTCAAAATTTGAACATATAGATGGGTCAAGACACAAACCTTCTCTTTTCTCTTCTTCTCTTTCTTTTTCTTCTTCCCCTCGTCTTCGCTGTCAGATGAAGAAGAGGAGGAGCTGGAGGAATCCTGTGGACCAATAAAATAAGAGTTTACATGAACTAAACAGCAACACTCCAAATGACTGAGAGGTTTTTGAAATTCCGTTATAATCCCAGAAAATATGGCAAGTTCTGTCAATGTTCTGTTTTTTTTTTTTTCAAAATTACCTTCTTCTTTTTCTTCTTCTTCAGCTTCTTCTTCTTCTCCTTCTCCTTGTGTCCTCCCTCATCATCACTCAGCTGATCATCTTCAATACGATCAGGAAAAGCCTCCACTGTCCCTGCTGAACAGGAAACATCAGCACAATCTGAAAAAATCCCAATCCAGTCCCCGTCTAAACTTTTCAGGAGCAGACCAGCACCTGCCACCGTGGAGGAAACTGTCCCCTCTTCTGCAGCCTGGCTCTCTGTGGCCTGTGAAGACAAAGCATGTTCAGGGTTTTCTGGTTTTGATGCACGCAGCATGCGCAGGAGTGGGCATGCTAGTCACCTTCTTTTTCTCATCTCCATCAGCACTCGGCTCCCCAGCCTCTTCACCTGCAGGAAATATAGCAGCAGATCTCAAAAAGTGAAGACAGAGTCATGTTTACTCTAGTGAAGCATCATTTCTTCTTTCATCAACAGTTTTTAAACAACTGAAAATGTTAGGTCCTCTGGGCGAGTTCATCTTTGTTGAAACGTTTTTGTTTTGTCTCGTCTCTTCAGTCCTTTAATTCTCCAAAAGATGGAAGAAGTCAACAAAGAAGAACCCATCCAGAGAACATACACTGCAAAAACTGTCCATCTTACCAAGTTTTAAAATATTATATTCAGCAAAAGTCTTTTTGATCTTGTTTTGAGACTGATTTACTAAACAAGAACTGATTGTGTAAGAATAATAATCTGGTTTTCAGAATGTGTAAGATTACTTGTCTTGTTAGTGTGAAAATTTGACTCAAATTAAGTCAAAAATTTCTGCCAATGAAGTAAGACAATTTTACTTGGTAAGATTCTTAAAATACTTGACTTGACTCAGTTTTTTATTATTTCAATAATCTTACCAAGTAAAATTTTCTTACTCCACTGGCAGACATTTTTGACTGAATTTGAGTCAAATTTTCAGACTAACAAGACAAATAATCTTACACATTCTGAAAACAAGATTATTATTCTTACACAATCAGTTCTTGTTTAGTAAATCAGTCTCAAAACAAAATCAAAAATACTTTTTGGCTGGATACAAGATTTTAAAATTTGGTTAGGTGGTCATTTTTTGCAGTGTAACTTAAAAAATTGTACTGGATAATTGAGATGAGGACATCACATTTACACAGCTTTTCTCCTGTGTGTGTGCTGATGAATTAAGCTGCTGGAAACCCTTACCATACACATCGCATTCTTGGGCTTTCTTTGCAGTGGTGGTGGGTTCATGTGCTTTGGCCTGTCAATCATAGAGAATTTTTTATCAGAAACACAAGGTTGACGCCAAAATGTAACATGTGCCACTTGTCCACAATCTAAACTAAAAACTACCACTCAGTTCTTTGCTGTGCAACAAAATTTGGCAAGTGGCAGAAGTGTATAAAACCACCTGAAACTACAACCGGAGTTTATTTTCTTCACCCCACCCCTTTTTTTTGTGCTCTCAAAGGGACAAGTTTGAACATCCACAGATTTGAGTACTTAAGCTCCTGTGTGAAAATAACAACCCAAAAGTTGTGTAACCAAATGTGCAGTGAACATGTTGAGAGGAGCACCTTAAGTATGATGGATGGATGGATGGATGATTATTTATCAGACTGACATATTTCTCCCTTAAAATCACTATTTTACTCAAAGGCATTGTATTTACAGGATTTCAGATCAAGCAGTCATTTAATGCTATTTATTCATCATTTTTGAACATTAGTTCAATGACATTTATCACCAAACAGTTGAATAAGCTTGGCACACTCACACAGCCAAAACTTTCATATTACTAATAAAACTGTGTGGAATTTCAAAAGCATGTGCAACATTTGAGAGTTCAGTTTTTTATCTGCTAAAATGTGAAAATAAATCTTAGACTTCATTTGATGTTTCTGCACTTCTTTCTTTTCAAGAAACAAGAACAGACTTGCCTTTTTCTCATCCTTCTCCTTCTTCTTCTTCTCCTTCTTCTTCTTCTCCTTCTTCTTCTTCTCCTTCTTCTTCTTCTTCTTTTTCTCACTGTCTGAAGATGAGGATGAAGAGCTGGAGTCCTGCATCAGTCCAAAACAACCATCTTTATGCAAAACCAATGTGCCACTTGACCTGTATCCATGATTAGTTGTAACAATAGACTTTATTTAATAAACATATATTTTCACTGTAAAATAAAGACTGTAAAAATACTGTAGGATGTTCAGTTTTTATAATTTTTAAACTAAAAATTTAAAAATATATTACACGGACGGTGCCCTTTTATTTACACGCAAAGTATTGTGGGTAAATGATGACGTGGATAGGTCCTCGCTCAGTGTTGCCAGGTCCGCTTATTATAAGCGACTTTGGGCTTCTTTTTTCCTAAAGTTGCTTGTAAATTCTGTGAGTCGCGGGGGTTTTTTTGGGCTTATTTTTGAACGTGAGTTGCTTATTTTGGGCTTGTCTTTCTTTCTGATGCTTAACTCTGCTCCTGATGAAGCAGAACACAAGGAGTTTGTCCCTCCCCATTCCCCCGTTGCCTGGTTGTCGCTCCTGCCTGAGTTGAGTCGTCGGCACACTTCAAACACACACCAGAGTCAGACTCAGTCTGCAACTGAAATATATAGATGAGGACCTCAGTTTGGCTTGTTTGTCGTGCTAGCACTGAGCTAATACATATATGGCAATATAGTGTCGGCACTAGCATGAAGRCTAACAGGCTAATCTGAGGTTCTTCTTCCATGAAGCAGCTCTGTTGTCCTCCATCCATATTTTCAGTTCCAGGCTGAGTCATTTCTACCTTCTCCTCTCTGTCAACGCTCTCTGGTTTCATTTAAAAGAGTCGATCATCAGATATTGTCCAAGATTAACCTTCAGGGTGGATATAGCTCGCTCACACCGAGGACCTATCCACGTCATCATTTACCCAGAATGCTTTGTGTGTAAATAAAATGGCTCCGTCCATGTTAAAATATATTTTTAAAAATTTACAAAACTAAACAGCCTACAGTATTTTTACAGTCTTTATTTTACAGTTAAAACAAATGTTTGTCAAATAAAGTCTAATGTTAGAACTAATCAGAGATCCCTTTAACATAAAAGGTATCATATCATGCTTTTAAATCCTTCTTTTTCACGTCTAAATCATTCACTTATGGTCTATTTAAAATAAAACTGCAATGCTTTGGTCTTAATTCCTTGTTTTTGTTGCTCCACWGACTCCTTGCTTTTCTTGCTTTACCCCTGTTCTGAGTTGCGCCTCAGAGCAAGCTGTTTTGGTGCGGTCTCTTTAAATGCAAGTGAGATATTTCACACCCCGCCCCCTCCAGAGACATTCTTGATAAAAATCTGCTTCCATCTACCAGGATGATGAAGATGAAACGTGGCTGGACATTTCAGCAAGACAATGAGCCCAAACACAAAGTCAAGGAAACTCTCAGTTGGTTTCAGAGAAAGAAACTAAAGCTGCTGGAATGGCCCAGCCAATCACCTGACCTGAATCCAACAGAAAATCTATGGAAAGAACTAAAGATCAGAGTTCATAGAAGAGGTCCACGAAACCTTCAAGATTTGAAGACTGTTTGTGTGGAAGAATGGGCCAAAATCACACCTGAGCAATGCATGCCACTAGTTTCTCCATACAGGAGGCGTCTTGAAGCTGTCATTGACAACAAAGGCTTTTGTACAAAGTATTAGATAAATTTCAGTAAGTGTGTTCAATACTTTTTCCCTGTGCCATTCCACATTATTACAAATAACTTCATTTCTGGACATTTATGGTTTGATTTCTTTGTATGTATGGATCACTTGGGTGTTACCAACATCTGGTGAAAATTTCATGTCATTAGCACCTCTAGTAAAATATTTACTGAGAAAAATGGTGACGTGTTCAATACTTATTTTACCCGCTGTCTGTAGTTGCATCATCTTCCATACATTAAATTTAATTATCAGAAAGAAGTGACTTTGAACGTGTTGCACCTTTTTCTTATCTCTCTTTTTCTTCTTTTTCTTGTCCTTTTTTTTCTTCTTGTCATCATCACTGTCAGAAGATGAGGATGATGATGATGATGATGAAGAGGAGCTTTCAGAAGAACTAGAGTCCTGAGAAGAAAACATATAAATAAATTTAGATTTATGACAGAGCCAACAGGAAAAGTAATATTTTCTTGCACTATACCTTCTTCTTCTTCTTTTTCTTCTTCTTTTTTTTCTTCTTTTTCTTGTCATCCTCACTATCAGAAGAAGAAGAGGATGAGGAGGAGCTGGAGTCCTGTAAGGGGGAAACGGTAGTTTAAAAAGTTAAAATAATTATCAGATGAGGAGGAAGAGGATTTCCTTTATTACTAGAACAACATATTTAGTTTAGTGGTTTGTGAAATAATAAAAGTTCTTGTTGTAATCAGCAGGAAAACATGCTGCAAAGTCTTACACACCTTCYTTTTCTTCTTCTTCTTTTTGTCCTTTTTCTTCTTCTTTTTCTTCTTCTTCTTCTTCTCATCCTCCTCGTCTGATGAGCTCAGATCCTGAACACAACACGTGAAAAACATGTGATGGCTCAAGCACTACATTTGAACAAAGGAGAGGGCCTAACAACAAATCCTGAGTCTCTCACCGCTTCCACCTTCAGCCCATCTGCAATCTGCAGTCCCACCGGGCTGTCTGAAACTGCAAACGTCAAGCACAGGAAACTTTAACAATCAAAAAGCCCAGTCTGCAGAACTTAGGTCAGAAATGGAAAATTTACAAAMAATCAAAATCTTACTTATAGATAACGCTTTGAATAACCTCAGCTTAGAGAAAAGACATTTTTAAGTTCGACAAAACTGATGAGGTAGTTTGAGTACAGGAAAGGCCAAAGCAGACTTTTAAATAAACGTTAAAACTCCCATCTTAATTTGTTGCCTAATTGCTGTCAACTGCAAAGTGGTTCCTCTTGGACTGGTCGCAGACTGTCAGTCAGGGAAATCGTATTCCTAACGACAGCATGGGTTGGGAGATGGTTTAAATTTTTATTTATTTATTTTTGGTGGGGGGTATATCGTACAGGCTCTAAAAATCCGTGTCATTGCCCTTTACGTCTGTATACCTGCAAAATTGTAGGAAAATCCATACAACTTGTCATGTATGGTGTTAACGTCTAAACCTTTACACCGACATTAAAATAAAGGGGCGATATTACGTGCTTTCCAAGCCTATATTTCAATTTTATACTAAAATATAGTATCTATGTCACATTTTCAGCTTATGAAAGAGCTTTATATTTGTAAAAATCCCCAAAACAATTTACGTCTCATCTTGACAGTTTCTAAACGCTTTGAAATGGGTCTCTGTCTCTTTAAGAAAATCCAACCACTTTCAGTCACGCCCATTTCAACACGTAGCCAGCTGGAGTCGCGGAGTGGGCGGGCGGGCAGGTTCCGCCATAAGGACGCTCGGCTTAAAGACACGTCACAGAGGAGGAGCTTGTCCCAAAATGACACAACCAAGAGGCGTTTCTGGTACCAAAATGCGTTTCTAGTACCCACCTGTCGTTTTGCTCCTCAGCATGGCTGCCTAAATACGCTGCAGGATTTCCCAAACATGCATGATGAGTCAAAGCAAGGCTTTGGGCATGTTTTTATGAGAGTATAACATCATAACATGATATTAAACTCATAAAAGTTGATTTCACATAATTTTGCCCCTTTAAATGGTTATACCAGCAGAAATATTGAGTTCTTACAGGAAGTGATCCCAAATGGCTTCAGCTACATGTCGCTACTGCTGCGGCTATACACACAACTAAATAATTTATTACAGATAGCTGTATGCTACAAAACTGATGTGGGGTAAAGGCGTATGTAATAAGGTTTACATCATTTACTATAAAATTTTAGGGATGTTGGAGATTTTTTAGGATGACAGCAGTCCACTTTGATCTTAACTGTTAGCTCATCATTAGAAATATAAAGGAAAGGATTCTTAAACTGTTGATTCATCATTTTATAGAATTTTTAAGCTCTGTAGTTCTGCAGAATAATCAATAAAACAGTTTAAAGGGGGAAAGCGTGCACTCTCACCTTCATAAGGAATGATATTAGGGTCCCAGACATATATTCTGCCATACTTTACTTTCTTTATCTTCAACTTCTTCATCTTCTTTTCATCCTGCAGAAACATGTTAAATATGAATTATTTCCTACTTTGTGATTTAATAAGGGCAGTTATGGAGATTGGCTTTGTGTTGGCTGACTAAAAAAACCTGAATCCAGTTTAACAAACCCACAGTTAATTATTCCTCATCAGAGTCAGATCTGACTTTATCTGTTTGAGCAATAAACAGACAGAAACCTAACAGAATCACCTCTCTGCTGAGATTATAATGAATTAAAAAAGCAAAGTCAGGATTAGGATGAGGCAGCTTTTTGTTGCTGCATTGCAATAATCGTTTCCAGTCTCTGAGAAGAATCAACATGAAATGACGGTGATTTGGGATTGTGCACGTAAACCTGCACACAAACCCATAAATGCACCTGAGGTGTCCTGTGATATCGAGGTCACGATGGGTCTAAATAAAGCAACAGTCTATRACTTTATAGTCCTGACGTCTTTGACAATGTTGACAAAATCTTTGTCCCTGGGTGTGGTCCTCTCCTGTATGATAGTGCGAGCTGTCACGTCCACGAAATACGAACCTCTGCCTTTTTACCTCAGGTGAAATACGAGCCGCCTAACAAACAGCTAGTGTGTCCAATCAGAGATGAACAGATGTCAAGTGTGTGAGTCAGCCAGACTGTACTGGAATTTTCTTGAGTTTCTGGTTTTTCTGGAGGCTTATGATTTTACACACCTTTAACATATTAAGGCAACAGTTTATTGTTGTTGTTTTTTACAAGATTAGATGCTGACAAACTAAACAAAAAACAAATATTTCAGTTTTGTGCTCTATTTCATTCAGAGATACTTTCAATTACAAAACTGTCGACAAAGCTGAAACTAGAAACGTATAATAA